GGGAGGCCTCCCCCGGCTGGCCAGCTGCTCTCCTCCTTCTCTGCCTGTTTGTTCTGTGTGACCGAGGAGGAGGAGACCGGCCGGCTGGTTGGGGGAAGCTTTCTGCGCCGAGGGAGGCGGCTGCTGGTGTCCGGCTTTGCTCCGCTTCTCCGATGGTCCGGCGCGGCCCTGTTCTTTGCTTGGGCAGCCGGGTGCCCGCAACGGCGCCCACGGCGGCAACAGGCAGTTCCGCCCGGGCTCCGCTCAGGTGTCCGGCTGGGGCTGTCGGGAGTTGCTGCCGCCGGTGCGGCCCCAGTCCCGCGTCGCCTCGGGAAGGGTGGGGCAAAACCAGGAGCCGCTGAGCCTGAGCCTCCGGTGCCGCTGCTGCTGTTGCAAAGCGCTGCCGCGGCTCTTCCTTTTTGCCTTTCCCTTCCCGAGGCGACGCGGGACTGGGGCCGCGCCGGCGGTAGCGATTCCTGACTCAGGGGGCCTCCGAAGGAGGGGAAGAGAGTGACTCCTGCCTCCCGCTGTCATCATCATCTTCTTCTTTTGGGTTAGTGAATCAATTAAACCTTTCATGATAGTGAGATCGTTTCCCAAATTAATTATTTTTATTTTTGAAATTTACCAGTAGCTGCTGCATTTCCCACCCTCAGCTTATACTCGGGTCAATAAGTTTTCCCAGTTTTTTTGTGTAAAATTAGGTGCCTCGGCTTATATTCGGGTCGACTTATACTCGAGTATATACGGTATATTGAAAATTTTTAGATTATATGAAAATCCTCATGTAAAACAAGGGCTTAACAGTTTGGCAAACAGTATATTGCTCATGTATGTACCTCAAATTGTATTGATTCAGTCCTACACTAGGAAGAGAGTGAGCTATTCAAGAAAGCTTCAATACCCTACTATCCGCTTAGCAAAAATATGAAATGGATCCTTGATTGTACTTTTTAATTAGGACAGTGGAGAATAAGTACTTGTACAGTAGTGACAAGATAAACACTTCCAGCTATAGTGCTGTGAACCATTCTGCCCAAGGACTCTTCTTCAAAACTTGAACAGGCTCTTTAATGTTCCTTTTATCATGCCTTCTAATCAGGGGTGGGATTCTACCAGTTCACATCTATTCGCTAGAACTGTTGTTAACATTCTAAGTTCAGAGAACCGGTTGTTAGAAGAAATTACGGGCCTAATCCTGTAAGGAAGGCAGGAAAGAAATATTCTGGTGTTGCTTACAGAAACTGCCTCTCCATTTAGAATGTTAACAACCGGTTCTAGCGAATAGGTGTGAACTGATAGAATCCCACCCCTGCCACCATCGTGTCAGAACTGAAGAAGCTTCTTGGATGAGAAATGAAATGTCTTCAAAGAAAAAATAAGAAACTCCAGTTGCCTCCTGAAAAAGCACCTTTGGAACAACCATGACCTGGATGACTGAGAATTTCTACAGACTTTAAACAGGGAAATATTGAAAATATTTTAGGGTTAGGGTTGTATATCCCGTATTACTATATTTATATTTATTTATGTTTATATTTAGTATAAAAACATACAATATATACCCACATAATTTCTACCCCCAGGATATATGGATGGGTATTTTATGTACCTGTTACTCTGGAAGCAATATGGGCCATCCACAATAGCACAGCTAGGGGTATATATTTGAGAACCTCTCAATACAGGGATTTTTAAACTGAATGAACTTTCTTGAGTCCAGATATACTTCCTAAAATACAGTATCTCTTGAGAAGAGTATTAGAAATGAGGAAAAGCAGTCCCCATCTCCAAACTCTGTGTTAAATCCTGGCTTAGGGCTGACAGTATACTGTTACTTAACAATCAGAGGGTTCTTATGGGTTGGTAGTAAAGGAAAAAGTATCCCTTTTCTTCTCCTGTCTTGAAATATATATATATATTATCATAAATTCACAGGTAATACTAAGCCACAATACATTTTATTTTTGCCATGGGAATATATTCAAACTAAGCCATTTATAACAGTATTCTAAAATCATAGATAAAAATTCTGCCTTCATGTTAAGCAATTCTCATTTTTCCAAGGGCTGCCTGAATGGTATCATGTGCCTAGCGTCACTAATAGCGTCACTCTTAGGAAATATGGCATCCACTTCAAAATTTGATCTCTCTCTTCCTCTCCCCCTCTCTCTCTCTCCTCCCTCCCGCCTCCCTCCCTCCCCTCTCTCTCTCATGAACTACAGGTAGTCCTCATTTAATGTTTAAAATTGAGACTATCAACTCAGTTGTTTAGCAAATCGTTACTAAATAAAACTGTGACTGGGCTTACGATCTTACTTAAACTTTCCTTTGCTTTACAGACCAATGAATTGGAAATTGGAAATCTGAAAGTAGCCATGTTTAGTTAGATAATTTATGTAGTTATTTTAAGTTATATTTTCAGAGGGCAGCATCTCTTTGACTGTTTCTACTAACCTCAAGTCCCACCAGTGGTGGGATTAAATTTTTTTTTACTACCGGTTCTGTGGGCATGGCTTGGTGGGCGTGGCAGGGGAAGGATAGTGTAAAATCTCCAGTCAGAGGTGGGATTTGCTGGTTCTCCAAACTACTCAAAATTTCCACTGCCGGTTCTCCAGAACTGGTCAGAACCTGCTGAATACCACCTCTGAGTCCCACCTATTGTGAATCCACATCCATTCTCATATAGCATTTTATGAGAGATTGAAGTTTATGTTGTTATTTGTGATCTTGTTATAGTCATTATTTCATCTAATTGTGGTTTGTGCATGAAATTGCCTAAAATTTTATAAGGACATAATCCTACTTCTTTTTCTTATTTTTAATAAAATTGATTTTTAAAATACACTTTATGCTGTTGTAACTCCTCAAAAATAGGACAGAGTGTTTTCTGGTCACGGATCTCGAAAATAACAGGGGCTAGAAAATGACAATAAAAATTCATTTTTTTCATCTTTATTATCAATATCACTCTTGTCATTGTATTATTCTAATTACTGGAAAATAAGTATTCAAACTAGGAGATGCGCTGTATATCTCACAAGCTGGTTTTAAGGAGAAGGAATCCAGTTGGGACAGATAAAGACAGACGATGGCAGCAATAAGATATTAGAAGCTGCTCCAAGGCAAAGTGGGTGAGGATATTATACGAAGTGCCAGTGGGAGAATTTGGACGGCTATACCTTCCAACAACTTTTATAGGCCTGGGCCTCTGTTACTACAATAATCCTAAACTCCATCATAAATGGGTATGGTGTATCTTTAGGTCTAAATATGAAGGTTTTCCATTATTAAATTAAGGTGTTTTCTAATCAATCGGAGAACATTTTAACATTTGATGTGAAATCTTCCACAATTAATTCAATCCTTCTATAGTTATTTGTCATATTGGTGGATCATGAACAATAATGGTCAGTGCTTCTTTTTCAACCAGACAATTCAGAGATAAGAAAAAAAGTAAAATATTTCACTGCTGTTATGAAAACTGTTCAAGTAAAATTAAAATGTTTGATTACAATAAACTTTTATTTTAATATGAAACCATAGACTTTTTGTTCTTTTAATAATGTATTCATAGAGTAATGTGAATAGAATTAAAATAAACTTGCAAAAGAAAGAACACTTTTGTGTAGGTCTTAAGAATTAGAAGGAATTATATTCACATGTTTTAAGCTCCCTGAAGCTTCTTATTGAACTGGGATAAACACCATGTTTCTAAAGGAACAAGAACAAATGGAAACAAGTGTTCTATTGAACAAAGAGTTACATAAAAGCATTAGTTGTCAAATGAAAAGATGGATATCATTCTTGTATACTATCAGTATAATTTTTGTGTTTTTCAAATTGCCAATAATAGATAACTTTTTAAATATAAAAATGTAACTCCTACTGTTTAAAGCCATTTTGAAAGACATATGAACAGTTACATGTTCTCTACTATCTGTTCCACAGCCAGTCAGAGTGTTTATAGAGAAGATCTTGAAAGACACAGCACATTTCACCTGAATTCATTTGTAATGCTTCATGTGACTGGTTTCTGTATAAATCTTTTACTTCAATACCAGACATCTTCATTTCCACATATTCTTTTACAGAATGTTTAAAAATTTGCTTTAGGAACTACTCTAATAAAGTAACACTACTGTTTTCTATCAACAGTTAATAAGTCCCAAATGAGTTCATGATTTTTTCCCTAAGATGATAAATATTGTGTTGCTAAAGTTTGATGAGTCCTCATATTTTAAAAAAAAAAAAATCTATGTAAATTAAATTTAAGTGAAGGCTTAATTCATTTAAAAATATTTTTTTTTAAATCGGAACTTTAATTAATGAGAAGTAATTAAATCCATGGTGCTTTATATATAAATAACTGTTAAATTGAAAGGTTCTAGGTGAAAGGCTGTAGAGATTCTCAGTCATCCAGGTCACAGATGACTCTTTGGTCACTCTATAGACCAAAGGTGCTTTTTCAGGAGGCAACTGGACTTGCTTGTTTTTCTTTTGAAGACGTTTTGCTTCTCATCCCAGTAACTTCTTCAGCTCTGACAGGATAGTGGGGAAGGGAAGGATTTATAATCCTTGGTAATCTGGTAATCTGCATCCTTTTAGAGGGTCATTGAAGCACTTGGTTATTTGGGTCCTCAGGATCACCTGAGTACCAGGTGCACTACTCAGATGACCCTGAGGACACAGATAAATCTCCAAGTACTCTAAAAGGAAGCAAATGACCGCCTGTCTACAAGGAATATAAATCTTTCCATTCCCCACTATCCTGTCAGAGCTGAAGAAGCTTCTTGGATGAGAAGCAAAATGTCTTCAAAAGATGAACAAGAAATACTAGTTGCCTCTTGAAGAAGCAACTTTGGGATGATCTAGGCTGAAATAAATGAAGCAATAAATAAAGCCAAAATATGGTGGTCAACTATCCTTTGTCACACCAAAGAAAAGATATGATGATTCTGTTCAAAAGCAAATTATTTTCAGAGACATGAAATAGTGATGAGGACCAATATTTTGTCTTTTGTTCTAGAAAAAATCTGCTAGATCTGGTTATTCCAGGATATTCCTAAATACACCAATTAGGAATATCGTGGAATAACCAGGTTTAGCAGATTTTTTCTCCATTTAGAGGCAGACATAAAAGGATCAGCTACTAGTGACTTCATAGTAACAAGATTAAACAGCAACACTGAAGAAAAATAATAATGTAATGTTTCAATAAACTTAGCGAACATGCTTTTCAATAGTTCTAAGCAATTTATTCTGCCCAATCATACCATAATAACTTATTTTTGAATCACAGAATCAAATATGTGGAAGGACATCATTTGGGTATAAGTTTCAGCATGTAACCTGAACCCATTTTTCTATGTCTTGCACTCTCATGCAGAAGTGGGTTTCAACCGGTGTTACTACTGGTTCGGTGAGAGTTGCATTTTGCTGCGTGCGCATGTACAACGTTTGCAAAAAGACAAGCGCTGTGCGCAGTTGCACAGCATTTGAAAAGCCTCTTCTTTCCTGCTTTTCCATCCTCAGCTGTGCCGCGCAAAGCAACTGAGATTGAAAAAGCAGGAAATAAAGGACAGCCAAAAGCCCGGGCAGGCGGGTGGGCCAAACAACCAACCAAAAGGTCATTGCACCAAACTGGTTCGGTTTCAGCTGCTCCTAAGAGCTACCAGTTCTATAGAACCGGGCTGAACTGGAAGCATCCCACCCCTGCTCTCATGTGCTAGAAAACATATTTGGGCTTTCTGTGTAATTACGAAGTACTTAAAGAGTGTTGTCATAGACCTCGGTCTTCTCATCTTCAAATTCTCTTCATAAAATTTAATTTCTAGTTCCCTGATCATCCTTGTTGCCTTTAAATTTCTGAAAAGTTTCACAAAAGCTGAATCTCATTCAAGGTATATAGGTATTGCCAGCTATGTTGTTTTTGCATTTCTGAGTTGCCTTTTTTAAAAATTCTCATCGTCTTCCTTTAAATAGATAAAGTATGGTATTTTTTATCTTTATAGATATGACTTGCCAGGAATATGTGGATTAAATTTTGTTCTAAAAAACTCTCTTGGTGGTGGTGGCACAGCATCTCTGAGAAGTGACCCACAAGTAGGTATTTATTTATAAAGAATCATTCAGCTGGTTTGTTCAGCAAAGCAAAGATTATATAAAGTGGCATCAGTTTCAAATGTATGTATATGTATATATGTGTGTGT